TATTAAATAAAAAAAAATTGACCCAAATTATTAAGTGGGTTGTCAAGAAATTGCAGTCATAAAAACTTGTAAAAAAAATGATTGACATTGTGTAATTATAAAATTCTGGTGATCACTGGCAGGGGAGTGTACATACAAATAAAGAAAAACAAAATTATATCGAAAAGTGGCATATCTTTAGAGGGTGGAAGCACGGGTGTAAGGTTTGTGACGAATGCAACCACCATTCACACCTATATTGCAAAACATGCAAAAAGGTGGCGGACAGAATATATAGGCGATGTGAATGTGAAAATTCTCGTTAAATAAAAATAAATCTAAATTAGCGATTTGGTAATAATGATAGTTTACATAATTTATTCATGTAACAAAAAAGATATTCATAAATGTGTTACGTAGAATAAATTCCGCATGAAAAATTTATCTGTATCACCTAGCAAGGCCTATCATGCATAACTTATTTGTGAGACGGGTCACAAGTAGGCTCGAAGAGCCATTGCATTGTAGACTTCGATGTCGTCGTCGTCCACCCGAAACAGAAGGCAAATAAGTGGACTGCAAATATCGAGCATGCGACTCTCGAAGGCCTCAAAGATTATATACGTAAGATGTATCAACCACCCGCACTTGAAAATGATGGGGCGGAACTCAACTTAATAAATGATGGAGAGAAATACTTCCCTCATAATGATCAAGACCTTCGTGAGATGCTCCGCATGTTCGTATCAAAGAACAATATCAAGTTTACCATGTTCATAGAAACGCCCTCAAAAGCTTTCTCGGATTGGTTTTTCCCAAAAGTGTGTCAGCTTTACGAACTCTGTGAATCGATGACCCATCATTGTCAGTATTCCCGCCTTTCACTTGCGAGTACAAAGACTTGGAAAATGATTCTTCCCGGGTAATACATCGAAATCTTATAACCAAGCGTCTCAAGTCCATTTCAATCAGTGGGAACGAAGCATCAAAATCACAGTATGTTTGCACCTACCTTGTCGCTGGGGTAAATCTATATGAGGACAAGTTCGAACTTCGACCAAAAAAAAATATCACAGGACCCAATGGGTATGGCCCAGTCGATTTTGCAATAGACTTACTCCAAACCACAAAAACGGTTGGCGTGACAGAAGGGATGAGGATTTTTACAAGGGTATTGCTCAGAATGCCGTGCAACTTGAATCAGCTTTATCAAACCGTAAGTGTAAAGCAAGTGAGATGGAAGATGTTTTTACGGGAAAGACTTTTGGAATTATTACAGATGCAAAAGAATAGTATTTTATGGAATGTTCGTATAACAAGGAGAAGCCATCGTTTAAGCTATCAAAACCGGTTACTGTTGTGTACGATGATGAAGATTTGCAAGCTAAGGTGGGAAAGGTTCTCGGTCATATTGCATGGTTGTTAGAGGAGGCACAGAAGCCGGATTCTGATTCTCAAAGTGAAGAAAGGGTAATAAAAAAACATAGGTCATCGAGCAATCTTACCGGAAAGTCAGATAAATAGGTTTTAGCATAAAAAATTCGTCATGTATCGCGGGCTACATCCCGAACAATTGTATTTATTTTTTGCATATATTAATAAAATGGTTTTACATTTGTCACGTAATATTGAATGATTCTTTCGTGTATAAAAATATTATTTATTATGTCATCTGAACTTGATGTATTAATCACTGAGCTTGAAGCTAAGAAAACTGATGAGAAAACTAGGCTTGAAGCATTGAGACAGAGCTTCGCTGAGCTTGAGGCTAGAATTTTAAAACTAGAGCAAGATCAGGCAGAAAGAGAATCTAAGAAAAATCGCAAATTCCAGACTAGATGCATCCAGATAGCTAAGGAAATTCTTAATGATGAACCTATAATCGAATATCACCCTTCTTTCTTGAATGGATTAGAGCTTGACGCTTTCTTCCAAAAACATCAAATTGCGTTGGAAGTGCAAGGGGCTCAGCATTGTTTTCATAGCACAGCTGGTATAAGGATGTTAAGAAACTCGAAGACATCGTTAATCGTGATCGGCAAAAAAGATGCGTGTGTCAAGATAATGGAATCTTTCTGCTTGAGGTATGGTATGATGAAAACCCAGAAATTGTTATCCCCAAAAGAATACAAAAAATTAAGAGTTTCATTGATCAAGCATCCAGAATTTTCGACTTATAGTCAATTCATAATGTATAACTTAATATCTAACCGCAGACAAATGTTTAATATGTATATCTTATAACGCATATGCATTTTTTTATTCGTACTGTGAAGGCATAAAAGTAAATCATTACGTTTTTATAATGCTATCGGAATTTAATATGTAAAATACATAGAAATATATCAATGTCTATAAAATTTAGATGCAAAAACATTCTTATTCCATAAGACTGATATAGAAATTTATATTGCCAACGTCCCCACCACGTTAATATACCGTATAGAAAAAAACTTAAATTGTTCCAACCTTGTTCTTTAGATTCTGTTAGATATAAAAATATGCAATTAGTTAAACTGTTGTATATCATACTGAGCATTCAATATATGTTTGAAATATTTACCATATTAAAGCGGATATTCATTAAAGAAATAAACTTTCGAATTTTCGCACTTTCATCTTTTGAGATAACTGAAGCTCGCCAAATATTTATAAATGCTTCGTTTTTATCTACCGCAAGTCGCACAATTTGATTTAAATGTTCTTTATTTTCTGGCTCAAGTTTATTTACTATGTTTAGAGCGAAATCAATTAACTCTCTGAGTTCTTCATCGGTCATGTGCCTCTTTCTCTCTTAGATTTCATCCTCATTGTTTTCATGTCTTCTCTTCATTGGTAAAACATATTGTTCCGTGAGTTCAGAACTCAGATTCCGTTTTATCACCAACAACGACTCAAATGCATCCTCGTCACCTATTATATTTCAATATAAATATTTAAAATACTGTATAAATGATATCTATTATAAAACTTACCAAGACAATCGACCAACTCTAATGCTAAGGTTGAGAGCCTTTGTAATTTTTCATCGTTCCATTTTCCTTTGGATTTTGTTATACCGTGCGCATGATGGTTCCTCGCCTCAATTTTAAAAGATTGAAGAACATCTAAAGGTTTTAATTTATATTCGCCATAAAACAGCGTTTGGTCAGAATGCGGAATCATAAACAAGGAAATATGTTTCGTAATGAAGTTTAAAAGACACAATATGTCTGCATCCGAAAAATCAATATTTCGCGGGGAGTTGCATTTAAGTGCGAATTCTTTTACTGTGTCAAAAGGAATGTAGTCCCGATTCTTTACAACAAATCTGAAAAGCACTTTCTCGACATGCTCTAAAATTGGTTCCACATAAGAACTTTGTTTGGATGCCGAGAATGAAAACTTATGCGGAATTCGTAATAATAAGTTGTCCTCCTTCTCTTCTTTTACTTTCTGTCCATTTAGTGGA